GATGAAATTCACAGACAATACACAAATACCATTAAACAAATGAAAAAAAGGCTCACTCTCACTGGTAACCATGCAAATACAAATTACACAAGATATGTATGTCCACCAACATTTATGTCCACCAGGGCTTGTCCAGGTTCAAACCTCTGCTGAGAATCTGCATTTCCACCCCAGAGACACTGAATTAGAACCTACAATTTAGAAAGATCCTCACGTATTCTTCTGTATAATAAATTTCGAGAACCACTGCTCCTCTAGTGGGTCTCGGAATTGCTCCCTAACCAGCAGCATTAGCATCGCTTGGGAACTTGTTAGAAACGCAATTCTCAGCAGAGGTTCGAATCAGTAAGAACCCGGTTTGAAGCCATGATCTGCACATCTACCAATCCCAGGCCCTGACTAATGCATAGGTCAACAGGTCAGAGTCCACCATCTCCACGAGGCGAGGAGTGACCCCTGAAGGTTTGGTCACCGTCCAGTCTCCCAAACCTGACCCCCTGCAGGGCACAGAGTAAGCACTCCATTATCTGTCAAATAAACGAATGCACGGATTGTTCACGCATGACTCTTGCATAAAACAACCGGGGGAGGGGAGGAATAAAAGCATAATTAAAGGGACTTAAACGCCCACCCGGAGGCACCTCGGAAGAAAGGCCTGACGATCAACAAATCACCTCGTTAAAGGAGATCCCAGCACACACGTGCACACACGTGCACCCTCTATGCGTTCACCTGCCGCAATCACCTCACTTGTTTGTTTACCGCCTGCCTCTCCCGACTACACCGTCAGCTCCCGGAGGCACGAGACCGCGGTCCCTCCGTGCCGGCACCTTCCCGGCCCGAAGCCCGCCCCTAAACCGAGGGGCGAGGGTGGGAAGAGGGGCTGAGTCGGGAAAGCCCGTCCTGGGAGCGACTGCAGCGCGAGGGGCGCTCCACCCCGTCACTCCGTGGAAGGCACGCGGGAAGCGCGGGGCTGAGAACGACCAAAATGAACCTAAGCCGTGTTGAGCGCTCACCACACGCCACTAAGTCTGCGTTTTGCACAAACTGCCTCACTTGTCCTCGCGACCCTCGTGAGCCAGGTGCTGTCACAGAGCCCCTCACGGAGCCCCTGAGGGGACGCCGCTCGCCCCCGCCCGCTGCCCCCTAGCGCCACCCCCTCACCTCCCCGGGCAGTCGCCAGCGCGGGCGCCCGCAGCGGAGCCCGGAGGCGACGGCCCCACAGCACCAGCGACCGCAACTCGCGCGCCATATCGGTCCTTCCCGAAAGTCGCACGTAGCCGCACGCGGAATAGGCGGGGCCGGCGGGGCGGGCTTTCCTCGGGGCGCCGCGCTGTGACGTCACGGCCCGCGCCGGGCTGCCCGGCCGGCCGCCTGCGTGGGCTGTGGGGGTGTCCCCGCGGGGTTCTGTGGCGTGGGGACCTTCGGGCTTGGGGACGGGACCTCCATGACCTTGTGTCGCGTTGTCAAGGGCGACAGGCCCAGCGCGCAGAGCTGGCGGAACTGGGCTGAGTGCCCCAGGCACACGCTCGCCAGCTGGACCTCGTTTTCTCCGTCCCTAAAACGGGGCAGATAAAAGTACCATCAGGCGGGCGTGCGAAGGCGGCGCTCGGTAAGAGGCATTGAACGTTCCCGTCGTCTTTATAAACCCCGGGCCACCCGTCTAGACCGCTGGAAGCCCCTGTCTTCCAAACCAAGGCACGCCACATAGCTAAAAATCAAGAAACGAGGAATTCCAGTCTTGTCTACACCAAACGTGAACTCAGCAACGTTCCCCGCCAGCAAGGCTTGTTCGTTTATTCCAAATCTCTCGCCCCACAGACTCCCGCCTTGCTGGAGATTAGCGTCTAGCTGTACACCCTCCTTTCTCACGTTTGGTTCCAAGCCCGATGCCACTTAACATTCAGTTTCCCCACCATCTCCTCGGCCCGGGGCGGGGCCCAGGCAGTTCGTCTTAAACGGGTTCTCCAGGCGATGCTGAGGCACACTTAGATTTGAGATTCGCTGGCTCTGTCAAGTAATTGTACAAAAACGGAGTTAACTGAGATTGTGTTAGGTCTTGTAAAGAAAAGTGACCCGCAGGGGCCCCTGAATTGCGCTGTTGGGGGGCGTGTCGGAACTTTCCAGGTGGAAGCCAAACCAAACCCAAACCCGCTGCCGTGGTGTAGGTTCCGACTCCTAGCGACCCTATAGGGTGTTAAAAATAGCCCCAGGTTCCTGGCTTAAACAACTGAGAAAGGAGACATAGAATAAGGATTTGAGTGGAAAAGCCGTCTCTCTCCCCGACTCCAGTAACGGTCTAAACTGATCCCCCTGCTTCCACTCTTGCCCACCCCCATTCTCTACACAGCGACCAGCTCATGCACCCCTCAATCAGTTTCCCAATGGCGTCTCAGCACACAGAATGCCAAATGTCTTATGCCTTGGCCTACAGGCCCCACTTACCTCATCCCGCTATCTCCTCAGTATTCTCTTTCTCCCCCACCACACTCCTGACACACGGAGCCTGGCCCAAGCAGAGCTGTTTCCACGATGTCCCCGAAGCCATAGGGGAGGGGGAGTGGAAGGACCTCAGCCTTACTTTCAATTTTTTTCACCGTACTCAGGAAATCATCTCTTTTGCAAGGGTTGATAAAATGGTCTATGGGGCAATATGTTTGCTTGAGGACCTTTTACTTCAGGAAGAGGAAGTGGTATTTGGCAAAGGGTGGAGGGAAACCTGGGCTTCAGTTAAGGATGGGCAGCCGGTGCTGAGACAGGCAAGACCCAGGCTCTGCGAGGGCAGGAGACCCAGAGCCACCTTAGGTTCTAGACAACCATCTTCCTTAGGTTCCACCTTAGGGCCTTCTGTGCTCCCTCTGTGGCCCGTGGCCTTCAGAGACATACCGCTGGTGACATCCTTGTGGCCAAGTGTCCAAGGCTAGCCCAGGGAACCGAGGCTGCTTAGGTGCCCAGGGATCAAAGCTGTGCCTTGAACAGACCAAGGGGAGACAAGGAAATGGGAGGAGGAAATACTCCACCCCCAGGTCTCCTGACCACCACTTCTCCAGACGCTGATGCCCCCTACAATCCCTGGGGTGAGCTGAGGACCGTGAAACACACCCATGACAAAGAAAAGCCAAAATTCAACTGCTTTCGTTCTTCCCCATTTCTTTGTTCACAACTTCTGGGTGGATCTCTCCACTAATCAGGCAGTGTCCTCGGGGTCCCCTGGAAGAGGACTGGCTTACGGCTGAAGGACACCTCTCGGCCTGGAAAGGCCCCAGGGACGATATGATTTTTTCGTAATTTCATGGACCATAAGGCAGCTGACATTTTGAAGGTACAAAACGGGGTGGCAAGGAGATGCTCTTCCAGGCCGTCCTGAAGACTCTGGGTGTTGCCAGAAAGCTATTCTGGGACTGTCTCAGGGCTCAGGCTCAGGAGCGGGGTTCTCCCAGGCAGACGGTACAGACTACATCTGGGAAGGGAAGCTGCAGCTCACGGGGCCTCTGACAAAGCTTCAGAGACGAGAACTCTCCTGGGTTTGCGAGTTGCATTCACAGAAGCAACTAACGGCCGGGAGGCATCTGCGCAGGATTCAGTGTTTCTTTGGGCCCTTTTCATCCTGCAGGACTTTGATGCCGACTCAGCGTGGGTCCAGTTGTTGTCGGTTGTCGTCAGGTCGGCTCCGACTCACGATGACCTCACGGACAACAGAATGAACTGCTGCCTGGTCTTGCGCCCCCTTCTTGATCGGTGGTATGTTTGAGCCCACTGTGGTGTCCATCTATCTCATGGAGGGTTTCCCTCCGTTTCTCTGACCCTCTACTTCACCAAGCTAGGATGTCCTTTTCTAGAAATTGGTCTTTTTTGATACATGTCCAAAGTAAGCAAGCCGAGGTCTTGTCATACTCACTGCTAAGGAGCATTCTGGTTGTATTTCTTCTAAGACTGATTTGTCTTTCTGTCAGTCCACAGTACAGTCAGCGTTCTTCACCAACACCACAGTTCGAATGCATCAGTTCTTCTTCTGCCTTCATCACTGGCCGGCTTTCCCATGCATAGGAGGCGAATGAAAAGACCATGGCTTGGGCCCAGTAGACTCCAAGTGTTTTATTCACTCACTTGACAAGTACTGTCCAGTATGCTTGATGAAGGTTTGAGACCAGCCCACGGTAACCGCCAGAGCCGGCTGGAACCAGGTGCTACTCCCACCCCCACACCTGCTGGGATTCAGCTGGTGGGTGGGCCAAGCCGGAAGCAAACCCCGGGTCCTTCATGGCGTCAGGGGCAACCACTTAGCAGGAGCTGGACTGTTCCTGGGGGAGGAACTTGACAGCCTGGCACTTACTGGAACATTCTGATTTCACTGGAGGACTTGGAGGCTGTTTCTCCAAACAGCCTCGTTCTGCTTTGCCAGTGGTCACTTCTAGTCGGACGGCATCCACCAGGGCGGCACTGGGAGTGTCCCACACGGGGATCCACAGGCAGTGTTCCCTTGCTGAGACTGAGTCCCCAGGTGTGAAGCAGGAACTCTTAGCCAGAGGTCTTCAGCTGGCTCAACAGGGTATCAGAGGAAAGGGCTGTGAGTGGGGGAAATGCAGACCATCGGGTATGTTCTCTGCCGTCTGCAGTGGCAAGGTACAGGAGCAGAGGGGCCGTTGTCCTTCATGTCCACAGCAGCCAGGAGGCACAGAGTCTGTCCTGTGCTTCTGCAGAGTGGGTGCCAGGAGGGGCCCCCACGTCCCGAGCTGCAGCGGGGAGAGACAGAGGAAGCTCGCGGGCCCTCGTTTCTCCGCGTGGGGAGCCGAGGATGTGCCCCTAAGGCAGACACTGCTCTGGAAACACCAGCATGTCGCCGCCTTTACTGTCCCCCAACTTGGCAGTGAGCACGTGAGGGCCTCGCCCTGCACCTGCTGTTCCCTGAGGTGAAGAAAATGGCCAGGAAGTGCCGCCCAGGTCACTGAAGTTTTCTCTTGAGCCTCCCTGGACTGTTCACCTGCCCGCAGCGCCACATGCCAGCCTTACCGCTGCCGTGCCCCTCATCCTGTCTCGGGGGACCCGATGTGCCAGTGGTCCTGCATGTTCTCACTCAGGGATTTGGGAAGGGGTGGGGGGCCTACGAGGGCACAAGGGGCAGCAGCCCCCCGTCCCCCGCCATGCTGATGGTGAACATTCAGGCAGATTCTGCCTCAAGGCGGTTTGTTCTTGCTGCAAACCTAAGGCACCACCACTCAGCATGTGGGCGGAGGGACGGTGGCAGCCTCGGCCCACCGGGGAGCGTGGGGGAAACAGAATCTCAGGTCCAGCCCCCACCCTCCAGAATCAAAATTCTAGCAAGATCCCAGGTATCTCTGCTGTGCGTTGAAGCTGGAGACGCACCGTACAGAGGACACAGGAGCAGCAGCGGGGCGAAGAAGGCGTGTCCTTCCCAAGCCTCGAAGCGGTGCAGGCGTCTGCCCCACATTGGCCTGTCCTCATTTCCAGCATGAACTCTGACCCCTAACTCACGAGCGCCTTCCCTCAGCCATCGGCTCCTATAGAGTGCACACCTGGAGGGCTGTGTCACGGACCTTGGCGCCGCAAACTGATGTGCTGGGGAAGGAACCCAGGGCCGAGACAAGGCCTGCCCATTGTAATGGAGTCTAGAAACAGCAGGAACCCTGGTGGCGCAATGGCTCAGTGCTCAGCTACTAACCGAAAGGCTGGCAGTTTGAACCCACCAGTGGCACCTAGGGAGAAAAGACCTGGCGATCTGCTCCCATGAAGATTACAGCCTAGGAAACCCTATGGAGCAGTTCTGCTCTGTCCCATGGAATCGCTATGAGTCAAAATGGACTTGACAGCACCCAACAACAGACGCAGCAGGTTTGCCTCAGGAGGGGACTCCTCCAACCCGTTCTGGAGGGCCGGGGCCTCAGCTTGGCACCCACCCATCTTTCACGTCACTTCTGACACTTCCTGCCCCCTGCCTACACGAGGGCCCCTTTTCCTTGCCCAGCAAACCAAAGCGCGGGAAGCCCAGAGGATCAGGAGCAGCGAGAACCAGCCGCCTGGGAAGCCCAGAGGATCAGGAGCGGGGAGGACCGGCCGCCCGGGGGAAGCCCAGAGGCGGGTCCTGTGCTCCAGCCCCGCTGAGGTCCTGCTGACACCAACTCTGGCTGCTCACGAGTCAGCTTCAGACGGCGCTGCACGGTCCCCTCTGCCTATCGCCCTTCCCCTGCCTCTGTCTTCTGGCTTGGGGAGCAGATGATGATGCTGTTATCCAGCCTCCGAGACTCTTGGCGTGCTTCCCCCCACTCTTCTTCTGACAACAGACGCCTCTACCCCTTAAGGGAGCCCATGACACAACCCTCTGTTCTCGGGACCCCAGTCCTGGGCAGGACCCGAGGAGGCAGAGGACAGGAAAGAGATGGCAGCTGGAGGCGCTGTGGCAGGAGAAACGGGGAGCCCTCGCTGCAGGCACCCCAAGAGCACGTCTGTCTCCACCACACCTTCCAGGCCGCTCTGGACAGTCCCTGAAGGACCTGGGCCGCAGGGTTCTCAGCCCAGTTAGGACCCTCCCTGCATGTCACTCCCTCCCCTCAAGTCCTCTGGTCTGAGTGTCAGTGGTAATCAGTTCATAAACGCTGCCCTTTGCTGGCCCAGAGCCATGGGGACGCAGGACCAGAGAACACAAAGCCCACAGTGATCACGTAGCCCTCTCTCAGGGTGGAAGGTAGGTTAGGGTCCTCTACACCAGGAGCCTGGGAGCTCTGGACATCAGGGTCGACTGACTCTGATACCCAGGTTCACCAGCGGACACCAACACAGGCAACGTCCACTGCAGGGACAACCCATTGGCGTCCAGTCACTCCCGACTCAGAGACCGTATAGGACAGAGTACAACTGCCCCACAGGGTTTTCAAGGAGCGGCTGGTAGATTCCAACTGCTGACCTTTTGGCTGGCAGCTGAGCGCTTAACCACTGTGCCACCAGGGCTGCAAGGAGTTACTTACCATTTATTGTCTATGCAATTTTTGAGGGGAGGGGCTCTGGCTCAGTCTAACTCCAGCTACTGAATCTTGGGCTACCTACAACTTACTGTAATTCTCCCACTGTCCTAAAATACCCCAAGTGGGTTCAAGGAGGGGAGGCAGGGGGTGCACAAGTCTTCAGCAGGAAGCTCAGAGCCCCTCTGGGAGCACACACCCCAGCTCCGCACCGCTCTGCCACCCACCGCTGTACGAATCGGGCAGGTTACTTAACTGCCTCGGTTTCCCTCCCGTCTCAGGGTGGAGGAGTTAGTCCGTTTATCCGCAACAGCACGTTACATATTATTTTTCCACCTGTTCACTTTACTAGGAGCCTTGATGGCGCAGTGGTCAAGCACTCAACTGCTAACTGAAAGGTTGGCGGTTCAAACCCACCAGTCACGCTGGGCGAGAAAGATGTGGCAGTCCACTTCCATAAAGATCACAGCCTTGGAAACCCTGTGCGGCAGTTTTACTCTGTCCTATAGGGTCACTATGAGTTGGAATCCAGCAATGGGTTTTTTTTTTTTTTTAAACAGGTTTTCGCTTTTCTGTTTAGATGAAGGCACTCACTGCAAGGTGAAGGCAAAGGTGTTGCTGGGCCCAGGGTTCCCGACTACTGCGACACTCAGCCTCTGTTCCTCAGTCCCTCCCCCTCCAGGCCTGATGGCTCACCCCAGAATCTCTTCCTAATTCCCTAAAAATACCGGTAACACGTTCTCAATCAAGGTGTTTCATAGCCATCAGCTCCCTTTTAATTTTTCAGGTTAGCAAACTAACAAAGCCATATGGAGTCAATCGATCCTAGTCATCATCTGTAGAGACGGGAGCCTGGCGCACGTACAGCTGACTGTAAACATTCTCGTCTCCTCGTGGCAAGTTCCTCCAGAGTCTTCACTTTGTTAGCCTGGGGATGCGTCCACTCAAAAGTTCTAACCTCTTTAAAATCTCATCCTTGGCCCATGTTTCCCCACTCTCCGCTTTCTAGCTCTTTAGTATGTAAACAAGGTTACGCACGAGCTGAGGTGCAGGGCGTCTTCATGATCCAAGATGGGCCCATTTATCCTCGTTCCTGCCCGCCCCTGCCGTCGGCACAGCTCTGATGGAGAGCTCGGCCTTGGCGGCTCCTTCCCAGCACAACTCTCCTCGGTGGAACATTCTGGTTGCAGCACTCCATCATCCCCGTTATAAAAGGCGGTTTTTTGTTTTTAATAGTGGTGTATTTTCCCGTGATGTGCTAAAAGCATGTTTTGGCTCAAATGAAATCTGTGGTTCCATTTTACAGTAATCCAAAGAAGTTACACGTCTTTAGTCTGAGATCTCAGGAGAGGCATAAGGCCCTCCACCTCGTGTGATCCAGAGAGATTTCATTCTGTTTAACAGATGTTTTCAAAAACATAATCATACACATTCACTGGAAGGTCAGGCAGGCATCCTCAATCTCAGGGCGACTGACCGCTGAGCTTATCCTAAGGGGCGTTAGCCTATGGGAACCATCTTTGAACCCAAGCAGTTTTACCACTTTTGTTACAGACACCAGCACATCTAGTTTCCTCTTTTTGATCACAAGTATAGGACTCTTTTCCTCTCGTTTGAAGTATACAGCAGGAGACACAGCATCGCGGCTTTCCAGCTTTCTTACAGAGCTGCCCTTCCGCCCTCTGCGGCCCACACCCCCAGCCCCACGCTCAGATGTCCTGACTGCTCAGGACAGTGGCCTGGGATGCGGAATCCAGAGAGGAGGTCGGTGCGCAGTTTTGGATTCTAGAAAACCTGCAAGAGAAGCTCTTCCTCCTGCAGACCTGAGGGAATGCCCCCTCGAGGGCACTGCAGCCGCCCCCCCAGCACCCCAACGCCCACCGAGGCTCCCTCCCTTCCGGTTTTCACACTGGCCTCGGGGCCGCCCCGTGCGTGGAAAAGATGGTCCTGGACACGAATACGCGAGGACACGGCCAGCTGATCTCCGTGGGGTGTGTGTGTGGGGGTGTGTGGGGGTGTATTTGTGTGTCTCTCTCTCTCTCTCACGGGACACAAATCTGGTTTAATCACTATTAAAACGAGATACGAAACCGTATGCTAAACTGTCCACCCTTCCAATTTCTTCATTTCCTCAGATTCAGATTCCAAGATCAAGTATTTTGAAAAGATCTGTGAACCTCAGGGCCAAAAGGGAGGCTACGTGAGCCATGATTTTTAACCCTAACACCAGAAACCCCAGCACCTAGACTAGGGATGACCCGCCGAGACCAACAACGTCCCCTCTCCCGTCCACGGTCCTCCTCTGAGATGATTTTTACAGCATCGACAACCTCCCGTGCCACCCACCAAGGACACCTGGGCCCTGAGGGGTGGGCTGGGGCTGGCGGCTGAGCCTGTCCCTCAGAGGCAGGGCCTTTGCTAACCCCATCAGGGCCGCCGCCCAGCACGCGCCCTCCCACTGTGTCCTCCGGGGCAGCGCCTGGCCGCCACTTCCTAAGGGCGTGGACGTGAGCGGCTGGGGCTGCATCCCTGCATGGCGGCTTCTCCCCCACCGAACCTGATCTGAGAAGTTACAAGTCCACCTGCAGTCCCTCAGCACCCTTGGCATCAGTTCTGGGGTGCAGGTACAGGAAGGGGGTCTGCTCCCTGACGCACTGCAGGAAGCCCACCCTCTCCGGTGTCTCTCGGGTAGCTGGCTAGGACAGGGAAGACGACGGAAGAAGAGGACAGGGAAGCAGACGTGCAGTGTCAGACCAAGCTGCCACTTAAGCTTGTGGATGAGTCACCGTCGGGCCTCCAATGTGTGGGGCTGCCCGGCCCTGGACAGGATTCCCAGCCTACCCCCAGGCCTCGCCTCCGTGACCACTGCCCGGCCTTCCGTCTGCGAGCGAACAACCAGAACCATGTCTTACGAACAACAGACTCCAAAAATATATATAAATAAATAAAAACCTTAAACATTCTTACATGGATCTTAAAGAACAGAATACATGTTAAAAACTTCAGTAATTTATATCAATTTTAAGCAGTACTTTATATACAATGGGGGGAAAAAACACATGCATAGTCCAAATACAATGTTGAAAACAGCATTTTCATAACAAAAACCCCAAACACTAAGTGTTAATACCATGTACATGAATTCAAGAAGGACCACCCTTTTTGTCTGTTGCACACAGTTTATTTAACAATATGATATAAGAAATGAGTTGGTACGTTACCATTCTATACAGTGATTGAATCTTCTTGAATTTTCTTATTTATAGTAATTATAGCGCTTGCATGATTTACACTAGAATTGCTTTCCTCATTTCAAGTTTCACACAGAAGAAAGAAAAGAATGCTTCTTCCCTAGTAACATCAGCATGGTCTAAGAGTGATCATCCCTATTTTTTGTCTAAAACCAGTTTTATCAGAGAAACAAAGCAACGATTTCTACATCTGCAAGACAAGAGTTTGGCTTCGGCCAGGATGTATAGATAGATGTGTGTGTGGGTGTGTGTGCACGCAGGAGTCAGTTCCTATCGTCCAGGGTAATACTTGGAGAACGCCCACAGAGTTCACTATAGAAAAAAATCTTCCCGCAACGTCAGAAAGTTATCGGGATACATTATAAGCTTGCATTATTTCAGGAATCAGTTTCTGAATATTATTTTTTTCTTCTCACTTTTAAACATAAATGTTTAAAGTCTTGAAAATACAAATAAAAAATATGAATATAATGAACTTGTTTTTTTCCCATTAAAAAAAGGCATGAGTCACAAGCAATGACGTCAAAAAGAATCCAAACAAACCCCCCCTCTCCCCAAAACAAAACAAAAACGAAAAAAAAAAAAAAAAAAGCAAAAACAAAAAGAAAGAGAGAGACCAGATATTTAAATCAACTGGCTTTTAACAAAAAAATATATTCTTTGTATTGTTTCTTTAAACAGCAATCCACCCTCCACGGCTTGGAAGCAGCAGTCCCATCTAGGAAGAAAAGCCCCTAGACGCCTGGGTTTTCCGTACAAAAGTCCAAGAACACGAAAGGGCAACCAAGCAATGATCTCACGATGCTACAAACCCTCCACGAACTTTTCCAGTGTGTCCCCCGTGGTGTCCCCGACCAGGGCCAGCTCACTGGACAGTGCATTCCTGGTGGGGGTGTTCAGCTGTGGAAGCATTGCACTCTGTTCGGGGTTCCCCAGGTGTCCCTGATCTATGGAGCTGGCCATGGTGACGGCGAGTCCGGGGTGGGGGGAGCCAGTCTGGGGAGAGGCGTGGTGAGGCGAAGGCTGGGGCTGTATCCGCGGCGAAGGGCTGGAATGTGGCGGCTGGGACTGGGGCCGCGGGGACTGGACAGGGGCCGGAGAGCGCACCTGGTTACTGAGGGACGTGGCCATCTGCTGGCCGGGGAGGTGAGAAGCCTGTGGTTGTCCTGAGAGCATGTGCTGCTGGGGGCTCATGGGGTTCGGCTGGCCTGGGGACCCAATCTGCTGCTTCATCTGCTGCTGCTGCAGAATCCGCTGCTGCAGGGCCTGCTGGATGTTCGGGGTGCCGTCTGCGCCCAGCCCGGGCTGCCCCAGCTGCCCCAGCTGGCCCATCTGGGCCGCCATCTGGCCCATGGAGCTGCCCTGGATGGGGAGGTGCTGCGGCATCCGCTGCGGCTGCATGGCCGGGGGGTAGCCTCCGGGTCCCTGCGGCTGCTGGAACTGGCCGTGCCCGGCCATGCCCCCGGCCATGCCCGCACTCCCCTGCTGCTGCTGCTGCTGCTGCTGTTGCTGCTGTTGCTGCTGCTGCTGTTGTTGCTGCTGCTGCTGCTGCTGCTGCTGCTGCTGTTGTTGCTGCTGCTGCAGCAGCTGCCGCCTCAGCATTTCTCTGTACTGCGGACTCATGCTCGCCACGTTGGGGCTGTGCCCCGGGCTCATCATGTTCAGCGCCTGGCCCTGGGGGTTCAGGCCTCCCATGGCCTGCTGCGGTGGCGGCACGCCGGGCCGCGGCACGCCGGCTTGCATGGCGTTGAGGTTCTGCAGGCCGGGCTGCGAGTGCAGGCCGGGCTGGGGCTGCAGGCCGGGCTGGTTGGCCACATACTTGGCCGTGCGCTGCTTGATGAAGGCGGCCATGAGCTGCGGGTTGGACTTGAGGATGTTCAGCACCTGCTGCTGCTGCTGAGGGGAGCTGGGTGACTTCAGGGTCCGCAGCAGGTCCTGCAGGGCACTGGGCGAGATGC